AAAGGCTGCTTTCCTGTAAACATTCACACACAAATTTTTTTTTAATCTTCCTTGCTAACACAATTTGGTTTTCCCATAGGTCAAGGCAGACACCAGCATGGAATTATACCATTAGGGAGACAAAGGACATAAAGCTGTGTTTTTTAATTTTGCCTCATTCAGTTGCATTTAAGCCTTGATCACTTGCAATAATGTCACTAAAATTTCCACAAATTGCTAACCCCACCTTGTCTGTGCCTTATTGTGATGTCTTTACGTATTATGGGTGCTTGAGCAGTTGTTCAGAAGTCAAAAAAGTGGGGGGAGGGTGGGTGGGGGTGAATTGGCCATATAATTAATCCTTCTGAGAGTGTGATGTGCATCATCATGTTTTAAAAGAAAAATATTAAGTATCCGGAAAAAAAAATACCAGCTATCTACAGCCCCAACATGGCAAGTATTCTTGGTCAATTAGGTTATATAAATCAGGTAGTGACCCAAGCATAAGCATCTGAGAAGGTCTGCTAAAGAGTAAGTGGGGTATCCCATATGTCGGCCGATATGGTAGCCCATTGCGACCCACTTTGCCGCAGAGGGTCAGGATAAAGGCCAAGGGTCTCCAGGAAAGCCACTTGGAAATCTTGGACTGGGAAGGAGGAGATACCACAAATGACCATGAGAGTCCAGGATAGGTGCCATCTCTTGCAAATACCGTGTTTCCTAAGAAGTGAGGTAAATGGTATGAGAGACCTCCGCCACAACAATGTGCCACTGAGAGCTCTAGATAAAACGTAACAATACACACTAATAGGAGAAAGTTTTCATCCAAATAGGGAGGAGCACCACCAGGGCCAGCCTTAGGCCTTTAGGCATCCTGTGCGGAACATCTTCGCAGCTCCCCCCTGCCCGTCATCCATGTATAGTGTGTGTATAGAAGTGTAGTGATTGTATAGGGGATTAATTAAATAAATATTGATGTAAAAATAAATATTCATTACACACACAGAGTTACAGGCAGACAGTCACACACACACAGTTACAGGCAGACAATTACAAACACACACAGGTACAGATGGACAGTCACACACGTACAGCCAGCCCGTGTAACACACACACCACTACAGGCAGACAGTCTCACAAACACACAGGCGGACTGCCACACACACACAGGCAGACTGCCACACACACACAGGCAGACTGCCACACACACACAAGCGACAGCTACACACACACCCACACAGGCAGAGAGCCACGCACACAGGCAGACAGCCACACACAGGCAGACAGCCACACAGACGTACACAGGCAGACGGCCACATGCACAAAGGCAGACAGCCACACACACACACAGAGGCAGACAGTCACACACACACACGCAGACAGTCACACACACACAAACACACAGAGGAAGACAGTGCCACACACACACACAGGCAGACAGCCACACACACACACAGGCACATGCAGACAGCCACACACACACAGGCACAGGCAGACAGTCACACACACACAGGCACAGGCAGACAGTCACACACACACACACAGGCAAGCAGTCACACACAGGCACATACACACACACACACACACAGGCAAACAGTCACACACACACACATTCAGACAAGCACACACTGTTACCTCTATTCATTATGGAGGTGGAAGTAGTGCAGCTCCTGGATTCTGCTTGTTGGTGAAGCAGGGACTCCTTCCTGCTTCCCATGCAGCAATTGCCCAGTTTGGAACTTCTAGCCCCGCCCCCACCACATGCTAAGCCCCGCCCCCGCCGAAAATGCTTTTTTTTTTTTTAATCCCGGGTGGAGAATAATGTAATCCTCCAGCGGGGCAGCCGGCAATGTGTGAGCTGTGTCGACTACAGGGCATCCTGTGCAGTTGCACTACTCGCACACCCCTAAGGCCGGCCCTGAGCACCACTAATATCTAAGTATGACTAAAAGTAAAATACAAATTCTTTATTGGAATAAATTAAAGTGAAAAAGAAAGACAACAATTAATGTGAACACAAAGGACTTTTGTTGGAGCTGAACAACCCAAGCCAATAAAGCTTAATGATCTTTAAAGGGACACTGTAGACACCCAGACCACTTCAGCAAATTGAAGTGGGCTGGATGCTGTGTCCCTTTTGCACCTAGTGCTGCAATGTAAATCATTGCAGTTCCAGAGAACTGCAATGTTTACATTGCAGCTCTAAGTCAGCCCTCAGTGGCTTTCTACCAGACAGCCACTAGAGGGCTTCTGGAATCCAAATGGACTTTTGGTCTGTTATCTGACGCTGGACGCCCTCACGGATCCCTTTAATCTGCGCTTTAATCACCACAGGATCCCTTTAATCTGCGCTTTAATCACTACAGGATCCCTTTAATCTGCGCAGGCAGATAGAACTCCTATAGAAACATATTCTGATACAGGCACATGTATCCAAAATTGGTAGGACTATCTATATGTGCTACAAAAAAATCAGGTATGCTTATAACTGCAGCAAATAGAAGCAACCACAGACTGAGCTATCTCCACCTGACACTCTTTATAATTGAATAAGTGTCTCTCTGGCAGATAACCAGGCAACCCTGCCTACTAGGCTAAAGGAAATGCTTACATTCCCCAGATAGCTATAAAAAAAAGATTAATCTCTAGAGTGCTTTCTTAGGAGACCATGTGATAAAAATAAATAATTCCTAAAAAAGAAAAATGCAAACTATTAAGTAAAAAAAAAATGAACTATCGACTAAGTGTTGCTACTAAAAGAGTATTGCAAAAACCAAACCAGGAGCTGCACTCTTCCAAATCCATAAACTTAGGTGCCACCAAACCAGAGGCCAGCACCAAGCCTCCAAATGTAATTAGAAGTCAAAGACAGGTCCAGGCACTCCAAAGTATAAATAGGCAAATTTATTGGACTCAAGTGTCCAGCAATGTTTTGACCAGAAAATGCTTTAAAAGACCTGAGAATTTACACCTCTCTCTCTAACAGATATCCAGGTAACCCTGCCAAATTGGCTGAAAAAAACTTCACATTCTCCCAAAAAACTAAACCTAAAAACTAAAAATAAATAAGTAACCCACACAATAGAAAATAGCTTAAAAGAGTTAAATTTCCCCTTGTATAAATCAAGCTATGAGATATCCAAGGTCTAATTGGCCTGATACATACTTTTAGTTATTCAATTTAAATTTTAGAAACAGCATTCATGCATCACCCTCACGCAGTTCTAACTAAAAGCACCCTAGTGAAAATAATGCCCCATAGGAACAAAAATAAGCTAAACTGGTCTAAGTCATAGCTACACATTAGTGGTGCTACTCCCTATTTGGAAGAACACTTTCTGTTACTAGTGTGTATTGTTCATTTACCATGGTTACCCCCTTATTGGTTTGTCCTATGAGGATTCTCATTGTTCATGTAGCCTCTTTATTTATCTTGCATAAAGGGTAAGTTCCATATTTTCAAAAGTGAAAGAGAAGTCCACTTGAGGGTGGCCTGGACTGCAGTTTTTTCTCTGCTGTCTTGGAAGTGCGCCACCAGATCTCTAGGTACTGCATCTGGAGTCTTGAGTGATTTGGGGATATAGAAGACACCTTTGAATATCATATTCTTGGCATGTCATGGTGACGGTACGGCCACCATCACTCACCTCAGAAAATGTGGAATCTCTGCCGCTGGTATGTCCTTCATATACTCTAGGGTTGCAAACCATTGCTTTAATATTTTCTGTTGCTGCTGCAGTTCTTGAACCATATTTTCAAGCGAAATAATCTTCTGGGCTTGACCATCAGACCAGGCCTCCAAAGAACACAGTTGGGTAATAAGGCCTGTGAGATTGTTGCGGAGCAAAGCCACATGAGCATGGATATCTAAATGGTAATCTACTAACAGCTCCTTCATGGCTGCCATCATCCCTGGCATGGAATCTGAGCGCCGGGGGACCAGCTGGGAAGGTAAGTGAGCAGGTAGGTCTGTGTTCCCTGGCCAAGCAACTACTTCTCCGAGGAGTCGGAGTAATCATCTAAATAGGTGGCCATCTTCGGCCAGATGCACAAAAGGCCCAGACACCCCCCCACAAAGGCAAGATCTATAAGATCAAGCACATAATCACACGTACCACATTGTTTGTGATCTATAAACTTCAATACACAAGTGGCTTAGCATATATTGGTAAAAAGAAAGCAAAGGAAAGAATAAGAGGACATTGTTCCTTGATTTGAACTGCTTATCGTGATGGACAGTTGGACAAACCAATGGCCAAGCACTTCCTGGAAACAGGCTACACTACCATTCTTAATATTTGTGACTACGCACAATATCCCTGAAATAGTGATAGGTGTAAATAACTGTATCGATCTACTTAAACTTGAATGTTGTTTGGATTTTCAATTTGGACGTTGTGGTATCTAGGCAGCTTAATTAAAGGAATAACCTGAGCTGTTTTCTAGAATTGTACGTAATTTTGCTCTATGTTGTTGTAATAAAGACAACTTTAATTTGCTGCATTAAGTCCCATGTGTGCTCTTCTTCTGTACTTTCATACTTGTGGCCAGAGATTTGGCACCAGGGCAAATATCTTGAGTAACTCTATGTATAAGTTCCTACCTCTTTGAATGTATTTATAATTACCAACAGTAGGGTGGCAGTGCTACTATAACACTGAATAAAAAGGAACATGTAGCAAACTATTTAGCTGTCTCACCTAGTTCTGATCTTCTGCTTATGGAAATATGCCATAAAACAATAAATAATTTTAAAAAATACAACTGCAAAAATAATTTTAAAATATCCACAGTGAAAGAAATTAATCCTGTTCTTCCTGCCCTGTTGCTGAATTGTGTTTACAAATGGTAAAAGCATGTGTATCCTGAATTGTGATTAGCTAGCTGTTCATTGCATAACTAACATACTTTACTGCAAGCATCTAGATTTGTTTGCCATCATCTATTAGTTTATCTTCTTTTTATAAAAAACAAAAAACAAACAAACAACGTTGTGGACTTGTTTGTTATCTGTTACTGAATCACGTACCACGACATTTCTTTTCAAATTCTTCAATTTTCTGCACAATGTCTTTTCGCTTTCCATTTATAAAAACTGTTTTCAGACATTTCATGTTATCTTCGCTTAAGTCTCCAGCCTTTTCCATTTCTACAATTATTTCCAACATGCTCACCTAGTAAAAACAAACAAACAAAAAAACACAGATATTAAAATGATATACTTTCACTTAACCATTTATATGGCTATTTTCAGGAAAGCTTTATTTATGTTCTGACTTACACACTTCCTTATCACTTCCTGTAAAAATCTAATGTTTAAGCTTCCTGGATTGCACAGTTTGCTTATTTTAGAATTTATTACCTCCTGCTCTATTAATAGTCTGCTTGACCCTGCAGGGACCTCCTGTGTGTGGGTATAGTTCGATTTACAGAGCAGTAGATACAAACATCTAAGGTAAGTTAAGATCTGATTAAAAATAAAACTTTATTTTCATTCAGGCTATGTGAGCCTGCTTAATTTGACTCTAGTGATTGTGAGCATAAGACATCATATTATTTTATCATATTTGTTAATCTATTTGTAGAAGGTAAGACACAGGCATATTTAAGTTAATTGTAAAAATAATATACAGTTACATAAAATGTATATTTGTATAATGTAAATTCCTTACTGCTTTTGCAACTCTAGGATTTCTCTTTTCTAGCAAGAACTTTGCTGACTCAACATTTTCCTGGGTTGTTTGTTGTGAAATGTGGTACAGTAGAGACCTACAGATAAAAAATAAAAAAAAATAAAGTTGTTCTTAGCTCTGCTTTAGTAAATCATAACTACAGTTTAAGATGGTAATTCCTCTACTAAAATCCTGTATAAGAAAATCTGGGGAAAAGCAAGTCAAATCAGGGTAACTTTAAGACCATATTATTGGGTTATTCTAGACACCATGATCACTTTTGTTTATTGAATTGATTAAGGTGCAGGACCTTTACCCTGCAGCTTTACATTTGACAAATTTGTCAAATTAACAAAATGGGACTTGAAACCAATGTCATAGTTCCTTCTAGAAGCCCTGTAAATCACAGAGTAATGAATAACCTCTCTTGAATGAATTGCAATGTCAGCCATGGAGGTACTTGCAGATGCTGCTACCCAGGAGTGGGCACTTTAAAGTCTAAAGACTTCCACTGTTTGTCACATGCCACATTCTACCAGAGGCCATAACACTAATGACATAGACAGGGACAGTATTTAGACTTACAAGCCCCCTGATCCCAAGTTACAAAGTGTGTGATTCACAATCTGTCAGGACTCTATGCAGGAGATGTAACTTCTGGCTCTTTGATGGACAGTGTTTTAAGACTGAGCACCAAGCACTGATTTAAAGCTCTATTTTGTCAATTAGGCAACGTTGTCAAACATAAGGTTTCAGGGACATGGGGTTGCCACCATAACCATTTCAATGAGCTATAGTGGTTGTGGATTTGTTACAAATTATTGTTCATATGTCTAAATATATTGCTGATTTATTAATGGATAATTCTCAAACACAAATTACGAAAAATAATATAACTTTATAATCAGAAGCGCAAATTTACACATTTGTAAGAGAATAGTTGGTTATATGACTGTAAATATATATATGTATTAAGGCAATTTTGCCTGCATTTGTGGGAGGTGCTGGTTTGCTACCCCTAGCCTACTTAAGGCACTTCCCTTACCTTGCTCCTTACCGTTCGAGGTCAGCGTTGAATGAGGATCCACTTCCGGGTTCTCTCAGATGCCATCTTGGTTTTTTCAGTATCCACAAGGTTTTTCCGCGGCAAGCTGTGTCCAGGAATCCTGTTTAAGCCTTTTCCGTCCGTCCAGCTTCTGACCCCGGTCATCGTCGTAGATCGTGTCCCAGGGACTCCTAAACCATAAGTTAGACCTACCTGTCACGTCAGGATCGGTTCCCACGGCGTACGGTACAGCACGGGTCCTCGCTTTACGTTTTTTCCCCTGTTATGTCACAAATTGTACAAGCCGTTCGCGGTTTTCATTCGTACGGTCATTTGGCTAAACAGTATATTCGTATAAATAGTCATTTCGCATATAACTATTCCATGTTACATTGAAACGGATTATCATTTCGGTTGTTTTGCCGTTCGGCATTTTTTCATGCTACGCTTGAAACACGCTTGCGGTTCGCATAAAATTCATACGTTTAAACTATTCGTTCCAACTTCTGTTTTCCCTCACATTGGGTTTCGGTTTTATTTCTATGTATTACGCATAATCCTTTCGTGGATTATATTCACCATTTCATGTATATAACATTCGGTTAACGAATTGCTTGTTTAAATAGACAGATTATTTCTATTACTGTTTAAAGGTATCAGTATTGTATTATGTCCATACAAAACCAAGCTCACTTATCTGTATAGATCATTTTGACTCCCATGCTTTCAGGGGTCTGCCATACTTATCCAGTCATCCAGATGGACTCAGCCTACATTACAGGCCTCATTTCTGTGTCATAACTACGACACATACAAAAGGATACAGTTTCCTTTTACAAGCAATAAATTCTCGGGTTGATTCACGTACTGATCCAACCAATCATACGTCTTTTTCAATACAGATATATCATATATATACATCACTTTGCATCACTTTAAGCATTTTGTGTATCGCTGCCCTTTTTGTTATTCTATTACATATCATACTTAACGCTATGTAATATAGGCCATGGCCTCCCTCATCCATGTTCTTTTCTATTAAACCAGCTAACATTTCTGTATGGATCATTGGACTCCCACGCTTACAGGAGTTTTCATAAATTATCCATTTCATTTCAATTAACTCAGCCTACGTTACAGGCCTCATTTCTTTGTTATGACCATGACACAAAATGCTATAATTCCTTTTCATGCATACTCGGGTTGAATCACACGTACTGATCCAACCAATCATACGTTTCCTGCACAGTAATATACATATATATATAACCTACATTTTATGTTTCCCTTACACACCATTATTATATAACACATATGTTGTTTGTACATAGGCCACGACCTTCCTCAGATGTCTTATTTAAGCATGACAACATTTCTGAGTAACTCATATCAATTCCCATGGTATCAATATTTTATTTTCAATCATACGCCAGCAAACCATAAAAACATTGCTGCTACAGGCTATAAGTCTGTTTTCTTTCCAACAATCCAGACTCATCATACTACTCTCTTTTACCCATTTCAGGCTGTCAAGCTTATATACATTTGCTCCACACGGTTTTTCCTGTGAATTTGTCATACTACCAGGTACGTACACCTGCTCATATGGTATTCTACCATACATTTAATTTCGTCCCCCTAGGTTAGAGTACTGGCAATAGGGTCACAGGCTTCCCAATAGGTATTTACCCCGTCTTGGCAGTCGCCATCAGTTAGTGGTCCCGCGAGGCCAACACCCCGCCTCAAACATTTCAGAGGCAAACACCCATCGGGCCACACGTTAGCTAGCCGCCCCGCATGTTGCATAGAGAGGGCCTCACCTGTCACTCCCTTCCACTGTTTTCTGTCTTACAGTCACCGAGAGGCCTAAAACTCCTGCCACTACGAGGAGTGGCCTCAATAACCCCTCGCGCCAACGCATAGATAGAGCCTCTCAAGCCGCTTGGCAATTAGCAGGGCCTCATCTGTCACCAAACAAGTATAATGTTTCGCCATCTGGCCTAGCTAGCCTGCCAGTACAATTTGGTGGTTTCATATACTAATTAATTGTTTTATTTATAGTATGTCTCAGGAGGGGGTAGAGGATTTCTCCTTGCCTAGCACCCCGGCTAGAGCTGTCACTCCCACACAAGGAGGAGAGCTAGCTAGTCCAGCATCGATCAGATCCTGGACGATCCCGCGTATAACCACGGAATTGAGGAGACGACCAATCCCCTACCCCGCTACATCAAGGAAAGCAGAACTTTTCAAACTGCTATGCACACCTACAAATAACATGGATGCTGGGGAAGGACCTAGCTAGTCCAACCCAGGAGACATACATGCCATGTTATCCTCACTCATGAGCAAGGTCAACTCCAGGCTGGAGAAACTTGAGTCGGTCACCACGGCCCTTACTCTAGCAGGGCCACCAGCTGCTGCTTCACAAGCACCAGCCGACTTGCCATTAGCTGCTCCAGCCATCACCCTGGATGACCAGGAAGTTAGCCCGGCTCATATGATACCTGAGCACATAAAAAGGGATATCCTGGAAGGTAAAGACGTCAACCTGGCTTCCCTGTTGATTGCCTCCCAGGATATTGTTGAGAATAAGATGTATGCTTATGATGATATATCTGTTGTTGTCAGATCTTGGGATGCCCGCCTGAACAGGAAACTGACTATCCCTGAATTTGTACTAGCTTTTGGTATTTACAGGGATGTTATCTGTGCGGTCTATCCCAACAGAAGAGAGGAGTTTGATCTCTATATGCACAAGCTGGTAGACCTGGGCAACAAATATGGTGGTTCAGCCTTCTATGACTACCATAGGTCTTTTTCTGCAAAAGTGTCTGGAGCCTTCTCCCAGTACGGAACACGATCCAACTGGGGAAAGACTGATACCGTCATTTTTTGCATACACTTTGCAGGTCTAAGAACACCGGCTTGTGCATACTGCTCCTCCACAGCCCATACTACAAATTTTTGTCCCAACACAGCGGACGAACATGCCTCCACGCAAGGAGCTAGTTCCTCTGGGGTTCCAGGGAAGTTGTCAAGAGACAAACTGGGACGCCCAATCAAGTTTCTGGGCAAGTCCCAGATATGTAATAATTTCAATGTTGGGTCTTGTAATTACAGTGGATGTAGACTATTGCATGTCTGTTCAAAATGTTTTAGGGCACATGCAAAGACCATGTGTCCAAATAAAATGTATTCCAAGCCTTACCTAACGTCCATTAATATGCCAGTATTCACGGCATTTATGTCTCAGCACCCATCTAGACACCTAGTAGACTTTCTCATCTCTGGTTTAACAGAAGGCTTCCATACAGGTATCCTACACATACCAGCCGGAACTCTGGAATGCCCTAATCTACAATCCGCCCAACACAACCCCACAGCGGTTGACACCCTCATAGCCCAAGAAGTGGTTGAGGGCTTCGTATTGGGGCCTTTCAAAACTCCTCCATTCATAGAATGGCGCACTAACCCCATTGGTATTGTCACAGGGAAATCTTCCCAAAAACAGAGACTCGTCATTGACTTAACGGCACCCCACTCTTCGGCCAATCCTAGTCTTAATTCCCTCATACCCTCTGAGGAATTCTCTCTGCAATACACCACCATAGATCATGCCATTACCGCTATCATACAAGCAGGGGTTGGAGCCTGGCTCAGCAAGACTGACATTACTAACGCCTTTTAATTACTACCAATCCACCCCACACTGTGGCACCTGCATGGCATCAAGTGGTCCGGGAACTACTATTTTTTCTCCCGGTTAACTTTTGGGTCCAAAAGTAGCCCAGCTATTTTCAACACATTTGCCGAAGCATTATGCTGGTTACTATTGAACATAGCCAGATGCCCTACGGTATTACATTACCTGGACGATTTCCTACTGGTCGAGGAGAATACTTCGCCTCCTACTAGTCTCAAAGCTACCACTAAGCTATTTGAGCAACTAGGTGTACCTATCTCCCCAAAGAAAACAGAGGGGCCAGACACGGTTATCACTTTTCTGGGTATCCAATTAGACATCGCCACAATGCAAGCAAGCCTACCACACGATAAGATAGAGAATATTCTCACTTACATAAACAGCTACCTTCAGCTCGGTACTTGCAACTGCAAAGAGCTACAGTTCCTGCTGGGGTCACTAAATTTTGCTATGCGCATCATACCTCAAGGCCGCTCCTTTATATCACGACTATTGCATCTTTTCCCACTTTTCCTACATGACACGCACAGGTTGTCCTTAGATACCCAAGCTACGGCAGATCTAAACATGTGGAAGAGATTTTTAACCACTTGGAATGGTAAAAGTATGTTCCTCCCTCAATTGACTGACTCATCTCCTACCATTTGGTCAGATGCGGCATCTACCACTGGTTTTGCAGCAATTTTTGGGAACGAATGGCTTTGGGGCAGCTGGCCTTCAGCAGTTCAGGATTTGGAAGGTTTTTCCACTACCTCAGCTCTTTTTGAGATCTATCCCATCGTGGCGGCTGCCGTAGCATGGGTCATTTATGGGCTAATATGCCAGTGCGTTGTTACTCAGACAGCCAGGCAACCTGTCACATCATCAACAAAGGTCGTTCCAAATCCCTTACGATCATGAGATTTCTGAGGAAACTCACTTGGTTGGCAGCTTGTCATAATTTTTTCCTATGTTGTTTCCATGTTCCAGGTGTATGTAACACAGCTGCTGACAATTTGTCTCGCTTTAAATTTCAGGCGTTTCATCAAGCACTCCCGTCAGCTGCGCCCACAGCCACCATCACTCCAACATTTCAACAACTCATACTGGACTAGAAACCATCATGCAGCATAGCAGGACATTGTCCCAATTGGCACTGTCAAACAATACACACAAAACATACAACAGGGCTTTCACACTATTCAAAAGATTCCTTTTGGAACATAACATCATGCAACCATTTGTTATGACATCTTTTTGGGGGTTTGCTTCCTTTTGCCACCTTAAACTTAAAATGTCATATAACACCATCAAACTCTATCTCACTGGCATTCAACACCACATGCTAATCTTACACCCAAATAACAACAGTTTCATGGCCTCTCACCAAATTAAGACCATACTCAGAGGTATTCAGAAATCAGAACCCACACATACAGCCCAGAGGCTACCCATAGATAACCATATCTTTAAAGCATTGTCTAACCTGCTTGACTTAAAACCGTTTGACACCAATACAAATTCTATCATCAAAACAGCAATATACATAGCTTTCTATGGATTTCTAAGACCTAGAGAATTCACTACAACCTCCACGACCCAAACTACTCCTTTCCTCCTCTATTCCCACTTGACAAAACATATGGATCATTACATCCTGACTTTACCTCACTCCAAAACCAGTCAGCACATACCCGTAAACTTTCCATACTATCCCACGCACAACAGATGGTGTCCCGTCAGTGTTCTTGATGCCTACATAGAGCATCATAACTTACTGCCCTCACAACCATTACTACAGCTACAAGGTGCAGTACTCACCACTACAACATTCATGACCTACGTCAGGTCTTTGCTCACACAACTGTCCCGCTGGGCTGAATGTGTTAAAACCCCTTCAGTCACTTACCTTTTTCCAGCGCGGGCTCCCTCTGTGCTGGTGAACTCTCCACCCCCTGCCGATGACAGATCCGAAAGCGCATGCGTGGCAAGCAGAGGCGGCTCTAGACTTTAGGCGAAACTGAAACATGAGGCCCCATGTGCCTGAGAGTGTGATGGTGGGGGCTGATGGTGAGGGAGGGGGTGATGCTGAAGGAGGGAGGGATGTTGGGGTGATGGTGGGGGCTGATGGTGAGGAAGGAGGTGATGCTGAGGGAGGGAGGGAGGTTGGGGTGATGGTGGGGGCTGATGGTGATGATGGGGGCTGATGATGGTGGGTTAGCAGGGTGATGAAAAGTGAAAGGGGCTGATGAGGGGAGGGAGGTTGTGGTGATGGTGGGGAGACTGACATGGTGAGGGGGTTGGGGTGATGGTGGGGGCTGATGGTGAGGGAGGAGGTTGGGGTGATGGTGGGGGCTGATGGTGAGGGAGGGAGGTTGGGGTGATGGTGGGGGCTGATGGTGAGGGAGGGAGGTTGGGGTGATGGTGGGGGCTGAGTAAAATGACACCCCATATGAATGTCTTTGGCACTATTTCGTGAAGCTACAGTGCCATATAGGAGACCTGTCCTTTACAGTATTCACAGTAGATTTTTGAGAGATGGATTTAATGAGCCTTAGCTTCCATTTGGGGTATTATAACAGTTTGACTGTTCAAAAAACCCCCACAAAGGCCTACCATTTGTAAAAGTAGACACCCAGGGTATCTCATAAGGTGCATATTGTGCCTTAACATACCCCATTTTTTCACCAATATATGCCAAAGTATGTGGTAAAAAATAATTTTGTGCATTTTTTACATACGGATTGCATTTTTGCTGGGCGTTTTGTATATTTCATATGTGCCACTAAGTTCAAACCTCCCAGATTATGCTCAGCTAAGTCTTCTGAGTAAAAAGACACCCCCAATGAATGTCTTTGGCACTATTCCGTGAAGCTACAGTGCCATATAGGAGACCAAGCCATATCCGTTTTTACCAGACTTTGAATTTTGAGGCTGGGCCTATGTGCAATTTCCAAGCATCTTCGCAGGTTTTAAATTCAAACTACCCCACAAAGGCCTACCATTTCTTAAAGTAGACACCCCAGGGTGTTTCAAAAGGTATATTTTGAACCTGAGCATGGGATCATTTTTCCGCTAGCTTGTACCAGATGTAGTGGTAATAAGTGTTTTTTCTGCCTTTTTGACATACAAAGTGAGTTTGCACAGTATATTTTGCAAACCTTATGTGTGCTACGACTGTATAATACTTCATATGTTGCTCAGCTATGTCGGCTGAGTACAGCAATACCCCCGTATGTACCTGTGCCAGGTATGTGTGGACATTGGAGGGGCACATTTGGGACACAGCCATTCCAGTTTTTTTCAAACTTTGAATTTTTATGCTGTGTCTATGTCCCATTTTAGAGTATTTTACCAGGCTATATAATCCAAATACCCCATAAAGCCATACCATTTCTTAAAGAAGACATCCCAGGGTATTTCAAAAGGCATATTTTGAACCTTAGCGTGGGATCATTTTTCCACTAGCTTGTACCAAGTGTAGTGGTAATAAGCATTTTTTCTGCCTTTTTGACATACAAAGTGAGTTTGCACAGCATATTTTGCAAACCTTATGTGTGCTATGACTGTATAATACTTCATATGTTGCTCAGCTATGTCGGATGAGTACAGCAATACCACCGTATGTACCTTTGCGAGGTATATGTGGATGTTGAAGGGGCGCATTTCAGACGCAGCCATTCAGTTTTTTTCTAACTTTGAAGTTTTACGCTGTGTCCCTGTTCCAATTTGGAGTAGTTTAGACGGTTGGTTATTGAAACTTCCCCACAAACACATACTATTTATGAAAGAATACACTCTGGGGTAATTCGAAAAGCATATTTTGAACCTTGGCGTGGGATAATTTTTTCTCTAGTTTGTTCCAGGTGTAGTGGTAATGAGCGTTTTTAAAATGTATTTTTTAACTTTTTTAACATTTTTACTTTTAAAAACTAGTTTTTAAACTTTTGTTTTGCTTATTAATTTTTTTTTAAACTTTCCTAAACTTTCTTAAAACTTTTTTACAGATTTAACATTTTTCTAAGCTTTTCTTTTTACCGTTAACCCCTAACTAGCAGTAAGCAGCACTAACAGTAAATTCCCCATTTTCCCATAACTCCCACCCACCCCAGGTAGCAAAATATATAGTTATAAAATATTTTAATTAATTAATTAATTAAATAAATTGAAACCCTGAGGGTTAAAAAATAAATAAAAGTTAATCCTCAGGGGTTAAAAAAAATTAGATCACAGTATAATACTGTGATCTGTATTTGATCACTGTAGGCAGTGATCAACTGGCAGGGAAGAGGTTAATTTTTATTTGGACTAGGTAAAGGGGGGTGTTTTTTGTATTTTTTACTTAAACATTATTAAAACATTTTTTAAGTTTAATTTTTAACTTTTTAAAGTTTATTTTAAAACTTTTTTTAACGTTAACCCCTAGTTAGCCTAACACCAAATCCCCCAATTCCCCACTAACTTCCACCCACCCCAGCTAGCTAAATATATAATTTTAAAATATTTTAATTAATTAATTAAATAAATTTAACCCCTGAGGGTTAATTCTTTTTTTTTTAACCTTTAGGGGTTAAATTTATTTAATTAATTAATATTTAATATTTTAATATTTAAAAAAAAAAATCAGATCATAGTAAAATGTAATCCCTGCCAATTGATCACTGTAGTCAGTGATCAATTGGCAGGGAAGGGGTTAATTTTTTATTAAAATAGGTAAAGGGGGTGGGACTTTAAAGTAACTTTTTTTTTTTCCAGCAGGGGGCAGGATCAGCACTGTTCCGGCTCCCTGCACTTTACACAGAACCAGAAGGTAAGTATACAGAGCACATGTGCTCGCTCTGACTTGCGGTCAGAGCGAGCACATGTGCTGGGCAGCCTGACCGGGTGCTCCCGGTATGCCTCTAATGCAGAGGCATACCGGAGCACCATTAACCCCGCGATCCCCGCGATAGCGGCGATCCGGGTTTAATTTTACTGCGTGACGGACAAGGTTCGTCACTCGTCATTAAGGGTCTCCCCTCTGTGACGGACCTCGTCCGTCCATCGGCGTTAAGGGGTTAATCATGTTTTTGTGTGGAGTATGTGTGTGCATGTAGGAGTATATTTGAATGTTTTGTTGCCACTAAAAATGTAGTCAGGTACTTCCATGTAATGTTTGTGTTTAAATGCAGTGGTCGATTTGTATGTAGTGTTACTCTTTAAAAAATCGTGTATTTTTGTGTGTAGTATTGGTGTTTGAATGAAGGGGTGTTTGTATATAATTTTGACATTTTATTACAGGGTATGCTTGTTTGTAATGTTTATGTTTGATTGCAAGGGTGTACTTTCATGCAGTGTTGTTATTTACATTCTGTAATGTATGTACATATATATATATACACTACCACATGCATACATACTTACACAGATATACATACATACACACACATACACACACACAGATACACACACACACATGCACACACATATGTATACATTCTTCACCAATGGATAACATAACATTTCATTAGTGATAGCAATAAGAGAAGCATATTGTCACAGATAATGCTCTACTAAACCTTGATAAATCAAATATTAATAATGAATAATTAAACAATAATTATAACAATAAACAAGTAGTACAGCTGACAATGCTCTGATTCGCTTAATAATTGGGAATTGGAAGGAGCAATGGAAGGTGGTCTGCACTCGACCAGATGGACTGGACAACCCAGGTTTTTAGTGTCACACTTACTATGCCCTACCCTCAAAACATCATACACTTGTCATGAATGTAGTATAGCCCTACCAATGCATTTTCTCGTGAGAATGAGAATTGTTCATTTGAAATATACATGCACTTTATTTGCATAAAGAATAATTTAATATTTTATAAATTGTCCCTGGCATTTTCTTTATTTTCATTGCTTTTTAACATGGTTTAATATGTTTTCATATGTGATTTGGGGTTTCAATTTAATTCCTTACTTCTAACATGTATTTTTCCTATAGAATGTATAGGAAGATAGCCATTGTTACTTTAGATTATGAGCTCGTTTGGACAGGAGCTCTTCAACTACTGTTCCCATATGTCATACAAGTTTTGTAAGAATTAAATGTTTGTCTTGTTTCCAGTTGCACAGCGCTGCTGAAAATGTTGGTACGATTCAAATGTGTGACTGTTATTGCTTTGCACCAAGAAAGAGACTGGCGTTACGTTTTGGGGGGTATTGGCGGAATTGGAAACCAGTTTGGTAAGTTGCAATTAGCAGCTCTAAAGAAAATTTAATAGCGGCAGCCAGTAACTCTCTGCCATAGTTTAAATTTTGTAGTCGGTAAGCAGCTGCTACTGAGTAACTAACAGTAGTGACAAAGACTTTAATAAGTAGTAGCTGGTTGCTAAAAAGTAGTGACAATATTGGAAACAAGCCCCAAGATTCTATTTTTATAGTAAAAAAAAAAAAAGAAATTGACAGTTGCCTTTTACAAAACATTTCCATTACATTTTTTAAATGCTTGACATAGTTCTGACAATTGGCAAGTATATTAATTGACGGATTTAAAATCACATTCTCTAAATGAATGATGAACCCAAACCAGACATTTGGTATTACATTAGATTATTGCTATTATTAAATTATTTTTAAACACATTTGTTTCATTGTACTTTAAGAATTCAAAGTGACAATCACATGACAAATGTTAAGGAGAAGATAATTAAAAACTATTTCTTAAAGGACAACTATAGTGTCAGGAAAACAAACTTGTTTTCCTGACACTATAGAGTTGCAAGAAAAAGTATGTGAACCCTTTGGAATGATATGGATTTCTGCACAAACTGGTCATAAAATGTGATCTGATCATCATCTAAATCACAACAATAGACAATCACAGTCTGCTTAAACTAATAACACACAAAGAATGAAATGTTGCCATGTTTTTATTGAACACACCATGTAAACATTCACAGTGCAGGTGGAAAAAGTATGTGAACCCTTGGATTTAATAACTGGTTGAACCTCCTTTGGCAGCAGTAACTTCAACCAAATATTTCCTGTAGTTGCAGATCAGACGTGCACAACGGTCAGGAGTAATTCTTGACCATTCCTCTTTACAGAACTGTTACAGTTCAGCAATATTCTTGGGATGTCTGGTGTGAATCGCTTTCTTGAGGTCATGCCACAGCATCTCAATCGGGTTGAGGTCAGGACTCTGACTGGGCCACTTCAGAAGGCGTATTTTCTTCTGTTTAAGCCATTCTGTTGTTGATTTACTTCTATGCTTTGGGTCATTGTCCTGTTGCAACACCCATCTTCTGTTGAGCTTCAGCTGGTAGACAGATGGCCTTAAGTTCTCCTGCAAAATGTCTTGATAAACTTGGGAATTCATTTTTCCTTCGATGATAGCAATCCATCCAGGCCCTGACGCAGCAAAGCAGCCCCAAACCATGATGCCCCCACCATACTTCACAGTTGGGATGAGGTTTTGTGGTTGGTGTGCTGTGCCTTTTTTTCGCCACACATAGTGTTGTGTGTTTCTTCCAAACAACTCAACTTTAGTTTCATCTATCCACAGAATATTTTGCCAGTACTGCTCTGGAACATCCAGGTGCTCTTGTGCAAACTGTAAACGTGCAGCAATGTTTTGTTTGGACAGCAGTGGCTTCCTCTGTGGTATCCTCCCATGAAATCTATTCTTGTTTAGTGTTTTACGTATTGTAGATTAGCAAACAGGGATGTTAGCATTTGCCGGTGACTTTTGTAAGTCTTTAGCTGACACTCTAGGATTCTTCTTCACTTCATTGAGCAGTCTGCGCTGTGCTCTTGCAGTCATCTTTACAAAACGGCCAGTCCTAGGGAGAGTAGCAGCAGTGCTGAACTTTCTCCATCTATAGACAATTTGTCTTACCGTGGACTGATGAACAGCAAGGCTTTTGGAGATACTTTTATAACCCTTTCCAGCTTTATGCAAGTCAACAATTCTTAATCGTAGGTCTTCTGAGAGCTCTTTTGTGTGAGGCATCATTCACATCAGGCAATGCTTCTTGTGAAAAGCAAACCCAGAACTGGTGTGTGTTTTTTATAGGGCAGGGCAGCTGTAACCAACACCTCCAATCTCATCTCATTGATTGGACTCCAGTTGGCTGACATCTCACTCCAATTAGCTCTTGGAGATGTCATTAGTCTAGGGGTTCACAAACTTTTTCCACCTGCACTGTGAATGTTTACATGGTGTGTTCAATAAAAACATGGCAACATTTCATTCTTTGTGTGTTATTAGTTTAAGCAGACTGTGATTGTCTATTGTTATGACTTAGATGATGATGATCAGATCACATTTTATGACCAATTTGTGCAGAAATCCATATCATTCCAAAGGGTTCACATACTTTTTCTTGCAACTGTATAAACCTTAGGTCCCCCCACCCTCAGGGCCCCCCTCCCTTGCCGCTGAAGGGGTTAAAATCCCTTCAGTTACATTAATCCAGCGCCTAGCTCCCTCAGCGCTGGTAAACTCTCCTCCCACTCCGACACCAGCTCCCGAGTGGAGCGGAATGCGCATGAGCAGCCAGAGCCGCGCGCGCTTTAATAACGCCTTTAATAATGCTTTCTTATGGACGTTCTGCATGCTGAATGCGATTTTCGCATTCAGCGTCGCAGAAGTGCCTCTAGCGTCTGTCAGGAAGACAGCCACTAGAGGCTGGATTAACCCTGCAATGTAAACATACATTGCATCTGAAGGGTTAAAACCTGGGGGACCTGGCACCCAGACCACTTCATTGAGCTGAAGTGGTCTGGGTGACTATAGTGGTCCTTTAAGCATCTATGGTTATTATTATTTTTTTTAGCAAACAGAACGTGACTTCTTATCAGTGGCAGTGATTTTATTATGACCTTCAAGTTTCAGAGCTGTTTGTACTATGCACACGTAACTTCATCCTTAAAGGAAGATTTCGAGCACTATAACCACAGCCTGCAGTAGGGGTTATAATACCAGGCGTTTACTGGTTCTTTTCCATGGTAAACAAGCTGATACAAAGCAGGGGCACAGCTGTGGCTGACTGACAGGATAAGTTAAGGTTTCAAACTGTTAGAAAAATTCCTTGACTTCTTACCATGGGAAGGTGCCAGGGCACTTCTGGCTAAAAACAGATTACAATGGGCTGTCGTGGTTATTGTGTTTGGAGTGTTTCTTTAAATTAAAATTATACGACTGACTCACCTGTATGGAGATATTTGAGGAGAATTGTTGCGTAAATATGTGTCCATATCGTATTTTGTAGTTTTTAGTACTTTGAGAATGTCCCTTCTTAAAATAAGGTTAAAAAGCTCTTTTAAATAGGACAAGTCTGACTCACTTATTAGTCCTTTATGTTCCAAAAATTTGAAGAGTTGTAGCGTATTCTTAATTGTTTCTTTATCACTGAATGTTATATCGGGTCCACAAAGAAAAATCATGTGAGCCAACTCTTCAGAACTTAGTAGGTTAGAAATACGATGCAGGAGTTCATGCATATCTTCCTCCATTTCAAGTTGTGTTAGCGTTGAACCACTGTGAAAAGTAATATAGGATTTAGTTTGCTGAAAATGCCACACTTGCAACTTGTTTAAAGTGATATGCTATGTACCATAACCAAACAGTTCTGGGTAGTGTGGTGAAAAAGGTCTGTGGGTTCCATTCCACTTTTTTGGCAAAATATGTAAAGGGAATAAACACAGTAAAGGAGGAGACTATATTTAAAAGAAGAAAAACTACCACAACAAGAGGACATAGTCTTAAATTAGAGGGACAAAGGTTTAAAAATAATATCAGGAAGTATTACTTTACTGAGAGGGTAGTGGATGCATGGAATAGCCTTCCAGCTGAAGTGGTAGAGGTTAACACAGTAAAGGAGTTTAAGCATGCGTGGGATAGGCATAAGGCTATCCTAACTATAAGATAAGGCCAGGGACTAATGAAAGTATTTAGAAAATTGGGCAGACTAGATGGGCCGAACGGTTCTTATCTGCCGTCACATTCTATGTTTCTATGTTTCTATGTTTCTTTTTTGGCAAAAATAACGTAATTACCATTTATTCGCAGAGTCTCCTACAAGATTATATACAGAAGTGAGACTTTTACAGAATGCAGAGTGTATTTCAAATTTAACCCCTTATGGACACATGACATGTGTGACATGTCATGATTCCCTTTTATTCCAGAAGTTTGGTCCTTAAGGGGTTAAAGGGACACCAAAACAACTTTAGCTTAATAAGGTGGTTTTGGTGTATAGATCCTGCCCTTGTAGCCTCACTGCTCAGTTCTCTGCCATTTAACAGTGTCACAGTGCCTACTACTTATGCACTTCTGAGAAAGCATAACACTTCATCTATACTTTGTGCTATCAGACTTGCTAGCAAATGCAGAGATTGATAGAAAAAAAAATATTTAAAAATAGTTCTTCTTCCATTTATCAGTTAGTTCGCCACCGTCCAGTCAGGGCCAAAACAATTATAAATACATAACCCCAAACACTAACATTCGTGGGAATAATCCGTCAAAATATTGCAACAGACACCTTACTCCTTGCTTCAATGTAACTTACTAACAAATAACCAGAAAATAACCAAAAAGCAGGGAACTAAGGGGAATATCCATTATATACAGGGGACATTATAATTATAAATAGAAAGACCAGAATAGTCCAATAAAGACCACTTAAAATGCTGGAGACTGAAGGCAGGAGAGGGATACAGTTACCCCATGGTAAATTAGGAAACTAACTATTACACATGTACACACTGCAACTACATGTCCCTTCTATATCAACTCCAAACTCAGTAAGCAGAGGGTAGGAAACTGAATTAAACTGTAAATGAAAATATAATGAGAAGGGAGTGTGAGTAACTGGCATGTGCAGTGTTTATAGGCAATAAAAGTGGGGAATTACCCTCATCACCACATACTAAAGTTGGGTACCCAAGTTGGGAGTTTGACCCATGATTGAGGCTCAGACTCATAAGAAAGTTCAGACTTTAAATTCACAAAGCAAAAAAGTTATAAAGCTGCTAGAATGTTAACATGTTTTATGTGCCGTGGTCTGGCGAAAATGTGGCTAGCCTGCCTGGCGTTTTGTATCAATGGGAGAACATCCTTTTATCCAGAATCTTGGTGTCTGGTGGTAATAGAAGATTTGTGTATAAGTAGGAAAAGCTCACACCACTAAGTAGGTGAGAATGAGTGATCCAAGTCTCTCTCCCAATATTTTGTGTAATACGAGAGGTGACTCTTCAGAGGGTGAGGTAAAAGATGTGTACAACAGCAATACAGCATGGGAAGGGGTCATCACCTGGGTGCATAGGGACTCTAAAGAGGTCAGTGAACGAGACGAGCTTGAAACCTCTGGTAGGTTTGAGAGAAAAGTATAAGCTGATGGTAACGTAGTCGAGTCAGCAGTCATAGGGATTGAGTTATGCTAATATCCATTTTCAGGAGGAGATCCCCACCAATGTGAACATCCTTCACATGCATAGAGTAAGGAAGCACTAAGGAGGCTACAAACTGTTTGGATTGGGATGGCAAAAATCAGCTAATGGGGGATATAGATCCCCATAGAAAGCAATATGGTGCGAGCAGGATTAAATTCTCAATTGATACCTGGGACTACCCTCTGTGAGGTCATTTAAAAAAAAATATTTATTTAAGTAAGAATTTTCCACATGAATAAACGGGATAGACCTGCATCACACAAGATATTACAGTTGTGCGCAATGATAGCATGGTATAGCTGAATGTAACAAAGGTGGTACAGTTGATCATGGTCAGCACAGTAAGAAGACAATACAAGGTAAAGAAAATACATGCCCGTGGTATCTAAGGTCTGCCGATGCATTCAGAGGGTACGCCGGCCACAAGATTCTATTACATTTAGTGTATAGGAATTGCATGTTAACTGTAAGTCATACGCTGTGCACTGTAAGTCGATATTGGGTGGTCACCGTAAAGGTGGGATAGGCTATTTGTGTTTGAATGCAGTCTGAGTAAGGGAACCAGATTGAGTTTTTTGAATTGATAGAGTAGTTGGAAAATGGGATGAACGCTTGCATTAAAGAGCGGTATAATATTCTCTCCAGGTATATGCCATCTCCTAAGAAAAAGAAGAAATATTAATAAAGTCCAATTGGAAAGAAGGAAAAGTCCAATATTATTGTCCTTACAGATAGTCTTTGCTGTTGACGTCTTCTACTTTGTAGTGAGTCCACTTATATGAAAGATAAAAAGAGAGAGGGGGACAACCAATAGTGTAGTATGTAGAGTTCTAATATGGATGTGTAGAAATAATAATATAAAACTCACATTTATCAGAGCTAATGTCCAAGCTCTGGAATAAAGCGCATACGGCGGTACAAGCCAGGTATCATCTGTTATTCCATTTGATAAAGTCTTAGACGAAACGCGTTATGGATATTTAATTATTGTGTTTGTAAATATATTAAAGTATTTTTGGTCATTTGTTTGTGCCAATAATCTTTTTTTATAGACACATAATACTCTTTTTACCCTGGCTTTTTAATTATTATTTTTATTGGTTTTAAAAAAAAACTGAAAACCCCTGGAAGTTTCCTGCATTTAAAGAAATCCAAGGTGGGGATCAATCCACCCAAGCTGTCATCACGGAGCAGTTGGTCTGCTCTGGTTTTGTAAGTACATTCTTTTATTATTTTATCAATATTGCTATACAGTGAGCACTATTGGCTGTCTCTTTTATTTAGAGAAACTGGACACGTATCACAGAGAGGAACCCATCTATATCCCATAAGCGGGGATCAAACCGCCGTATGCGCTTTATTCCAGAGCTAGGACATTAGCTCTGATAAATGTGAGTTTTATATTATTATTTCTACACATCCATATTAGAACTCTACATACTACACTATTGGTTGTCCCCCTCTCTCTTTTTATCTTTCATATAAGTGGACTCACTACAAAGTAGAAGACGTCAACAGCAAAGACTATCTGTAAGGACAATAATATTGGACTTTTCCTTCTTTCCAATTGGACTTTATTAATATTTTATTTAAAAATAACTTTTTTATTTTATTCCAATTTTATCTGAGTGCGCAGCCTTTTTTCTTCTTTTTCTTATTTTATCCAAATTAAAGGGTTTGAGGGATCCCCTTTAAAAGGTTGCTGCCTATAAGTTATCTAGCGCTGTCTTTCTCTTTTTCCTATATGCCATCTCCTGACTGTACGGGGGAACCCACCGGGAGGTGTGAATGCAAGGTGTAAGGTCATTTTTAATAGAGACCTCAAGACTGAACAGACCCTGAGAGGATCACCTTCCATGCCCCAATGCCATTGTGATCGGTGCTGGGCTTTGCCAGTTAACCAGCACCGATAACAGTTTAAGGGCAATTCATTTTCTGTTTGACATGGATTTAAATATACCTAATATACTTAAAACTGCCATTAGATGGCTGCAACATACGGTTTTTGCCTGTTTTATTTTATAATTCCTTTTACTAATATCAGTACTGCCATTAACAGAATTAATCCCTTGGATTAGGATTAAGATTAGATTAAGGATTAAGATTAGGTTTAGTATTAGCATTAGAATTTGGATTTAGGTTCAGATTAGGATTAGGTTCAGCAAAAGGAATCCTTCTAATGGTAATAATCGTAATGGGACTTTAAGATGCATTTAATGTTGTAGTTTTGAAAAATACCCACAGACGCGATGCACCTGAATAAAAGTGTGTGCCATTAGTGTCACCACTCACTGTTAATGTGTTGTACTGCAAATTGCAGGCTTAACACTATTCCTCATCCTAAGTATAGTGTTCATGGGCCCCAACCTCCCCTCTACTCGCTGAAAACAGAAGACCCTCTATTTACAAATAATGGTGGAGATCTCAGACTGGTTAAAGGACTTTGCTTTATGAATAATCCCTCAACCTCCTTTAAATCACGATAATCGACTCAGCATGGTTAATGATTCGGTCTCCGGATTACTCCCTCTTCTCAATTGATAACATGATCACTGACTTGAACTGGTTAATGGACTTTGCTTCATTCCTACTCATTCTTTCCTCCTGCTACCTAACTCAGCTTGTATCATCTGGACTCTGCTTCCTGTCTATACATCAAAATACTG